ACGCTTACTGATTCCAGCGCTTAAAAGTGCTTAGATATCTAACTGTAAGCGCTTAAAAGTGCTTAAAAACCTAATTTTAAGCGCTTTCAGCGGCTTAAAATGTGCGCTTTTCAGCGCTTTTAAGCGAGAAATTTAAGCTACTTTAAGCGAGCTTTTCTGCTTAAATTTTCACATGGGATAGTTCTAGGTATTCGAATACTCAACCAATTGACCTCATCTTTTGGGCACATAACTAGCATGTAAGGGGAACAGCCCTACTAAGAAAAAGTTAGAAAATTCATTAGATATTATGGAAAACAAAACATAAGCTTTTATAGTCAGTTTTTCCCTCATTCTAACGACCTTTTATTGTTTTGTTTAACAGTGTCAAAAAAAAACGTTATACAAAAGAATTAAAAAGAATTTATCTATCTAGTTCAAATCTGTCAAGGGTCTTCTGATAGTTTTCATCATAATGATGAATCAGAGTAAGCGTGGGAGTAAGAATATAAGTAAAAATTGGTATGTAACTGTGAAGAGGATACGAATCCTTATTCTCACTCTCTACCTACCTCAGCTTTGTCAGAATGAGGGAAAATTTGACTATAAAAGTTTATGCTTTGCTTTCCATGATATCTAATGAATTTTCTAACTTTTTCTTGGTAGGACTGTTCCCCCTTACATGCTAGTTATGTGCCCAAAAGATGAGGTCAATTGGTTGAGTATTCGAGTACCTAGATCTATGGCAATATCCCGAACTTGAGCATAATGCCATTTCTCTCTATAGTATGTGATAGAAGTTTCACAATTTTGGAGAGCAATAAGGGTTTGTGAGCCTATCTTTTCTGTACGTTTGAAGTCGATCTGTTGAAGCCATACTGAATTATGGGTTATACAATGAGATTTGACGAGTTCTGAGCATACCCATCCTTACAGTAAAATGAACCTAGCTTCACAAAAACTCAATGAATTTTGATAAAATTCTTACTATTAATAGCCAGTGTACAGAGCTACAAAATAACGTGTCTCGCAGCTCATAAGGATTTGTTGTTCTGGAGGCATGACGTCCACAATTGAAATGAACCACATGCATCGTAACTCTCTAGTGACTGAGGATATGGAGGCGTGAGTTTCGTCGCTAACCTGCATTATTCGAGATCTATATAGAGAATCTAGTTTTCAGAGCAACAGCACTTGTAGTGGATGAGATCTGATGCGTGGATAATTTTGGCCAGCACTGTATATATACATTTGTACTTCTCTAAATCATGAATATAGCGTTCAAAATGAATTTTTAGTGAAATTTCGTCATTTTTTTCAGATATATAGGAATTATAGGAAAAATGCCTCGAAAATAGGAAATTATAGGAGGACTTTGCGATATATAGGAAATATAGGAAATATAGGACGACTACGAAGCCTGTATATTAATGATTACAGTTTTTTTCCAAAATTACATTTTATCAAGCTGAACGAATAAAAATAAAAACAAAAACAAAAATTATATTGCTTAATTTCGCAGAAAAAAAAAGATAATTGTCGCTAAATTTTTCATTGTTTATTATTCCGTAAAATCACAATTAAATTATAGGAAACATTCACTACAATTAATTGTTATTATTATAACTTGTATAGTAATAAAAGCTGTTAGCGCAATCCCTTGCAGGATTAAAAATGTGAAACACGATGGCCCTACTGTTACTAATTAAACAGACTTCGTTTTCTTCCGTTTCTTTACAATAGATTTCTAGCTTATTGTTTTCGTTTTTGATCTTTCAAAACTACAGTTTCTCTGTAACAATCTGTGAGGGGTTTAGATATTCTCTGTCACGGTCTGTGATGGTCTCCAGGGGTTCTCTGTCACGGCCTGTGGGATTCTCTGTCACGGTCTGTGATGGTCTTCGGGGGTTCTCTGTCACGGTCTGTGATGGTCTCCAGGGATTCTCTGTCACGGTCTGTGATGGGTACAAGGGTTTCTCTGTCACGGTCTGTGATGGGTATAGAATTTCTCTGTCACGGTCTGTGTGGGGGGAGGGGAGGGTCCAAATTTCTACCCCTAAACACTTCAACACTCCTTTCAGATCGTGTTTCACAAAAGAACTGAATAGTAAGAACTTGCAGATTCGTTCTTCTTTTTAATTTTATCAATATTCGATAATAGAAAAAACGTTCGTTATTACCTTTTGGCGCCGTTCGATATATATATTATTTTGACGACCATAGTTACCATATGGTAACTATATTTCAGACAGACAGACACAGGTGAATTTCGGTTTCTAGACCCTATCCTTTCAGTCTAGGGAATTAGAAGCGATTCTTTCCTTCTTTTCTTAATTATTTACAGAAAGCACGAGCAAAAAGTGCATGTGTGATTCAGACGGAAGAAAAAAATAGTTACTATCTAATTCAAAAATAAATAAACCATTCTGAAAAAGTAAAATTTCAATGGGCAAATCTCCAAATGAAACGGGCAATTGCTCATTGACTCATCCCTTGGCTACGCCGCTGATCAATATTATATAGTTATGAGAAAAAAAATCTATTATGTTGACAGTGTCATACGAGCTTTTCAATGATTGGTTGCTTGAATAGACATCAGTGAATGTTATTCCTTTTTATATTTATTGATTTGTCTCATGACATTCTATTTATTTTGTTTAGGTAATTATTTTCCGTTGAGACATGGCACATCAATGCTTTTTTTTATTCTACAGATCGATTGTGCATAACTTGAGCAAAAAAAAAGCGGAAGCACGTTGAAAAAAATGGCTTATATTTATTTGAGCAATAAAAATATTGGAATGAGTAATAATTCAAATACAGTTTAGCAATAATTTTTGAGCAATAAGAAAAGTTTATTTAAGCAATTTTATCATATTTTAAATGAACAATAAATAACTTATTAAATAGCAGTAGTAACTTCATATTTTAGCAACAAAAAATAGAAAAACTACAGGATGGATGTCGGTGTGGGTGAAAAAAATACTGATATACAACACCTATGCCGACTGAACTCATCCACATCCACACCCACACCAATATTGCGTTACGCTTTGTGATTGAGCCATTTGCATAAATTATGTATTCTCTTTAATAAAATTGAAAAAATACCTATTTGTGTAAATAAATGAATCAATATTGCCCTTTTTATATACAACTTATTTTTTATTAAAATGAACTACTGCTTATTCAACATAATTATTGTTCATTCAATATAATAATTGTTTATTTAAGTTATTTTATTGCTCAATTAAATATAAGTCGAAAAAAATGCTCTCCTAACAGTGTTTTTTTATAGTTTTGATTTATAAAAAGAGATGAGAAAAAAAGAAAAAAATACATTTGTTAGATGCAATATATGGAATAGAGTATATTTACCTTGCTTCTATTGCACTCTTTTTTTCATTCCTCTTATTCTTTGCTTTTTTTTCCAATGCACTTTTACTTCCTTTTCACCTCTTGTCATCTGTACTTCGTGGAGATTCGACAATTGAAAAGAGTTGTATATATTATGTGTACAGATTGACATCATAAAAAAATGCTGCGTATCTTACAAGATGTTTCATTCGTCTAGTTTTCCTAGAGTGCTTAAGATTGATTACCCATTGATATTTAATATATTAGCTAGAATATATCACGTGTCTAAAAAAAAAAAGACGCATTATGTGTCTCAGTTAGACATATCAAGTGTCAATGGATAGTCAATTTTAGACATTTCAGCAAAACAAACATAGTATAATACTCTTGACGTATCTTAATTTTTTAGAGTTGAAAGAGAAAAAGGGAGGACAAAGCGAGTTGATTTTTTTTCTTGAGTTTTCTTTTTTTTTTCAAAATAACTTATTAAAACAAAAATATATTTATGAATTATTTTCTTCAATTCAGAAGAAAATATTATTAATATGGCAATAAGAAATTCAAATTTCTTTTTATTAATTCTATTATTATCATCAATCAGTGCATTTAATCAACCAGGATTCGGGCCTATTAAATCATTACCACAAACACATATTCAATGGTTTTCAATTTTAAATTCGCTTGTCGTTGTCTTATTTCTTTCGGGTATAGTTGCTACTATTCTTTTCCATATATTATGTAAAGATAATCCGCGTTATAGTCGAATAGTTGGTACTGTAAGTTGAAGAAATTAAATCTATATTTATGATTGTTTTATTTTTATATAGGGTAGTGCAAAAGAACAATTTGGATGGAAGCTGTAAGGATTTATCTATTTCATGTCTTTATTTTGATCGTGTATTGCATACAAGTCAGTTTTTTGACATTGTTGTTGAGGTTATGTACTTTCTGTATAGTAAAATATTTCGAATACGAAGATTCGTAGATTTATTATCTTTCAAACTGCTGACTTTTGGTACTAATACTTCACTTAACTATATACTTTCAACTCAAACTACTTATCATCTTTTATATCGATTTTCAACATTCAGCAAAGAACTTTTCAGAAATAGATAAAGAAATTTAAAGCTAACACTTTGTCTATATGTAGATCTCATGGTTATTAAAATGTTCGAAAATCTTTTAGTAAAACAATCAGGTATTAAATGTATGTCACAGATAAATAAGAAGATCTAATACGAATAATTTAAGGTGTGTTAGTCGCTGAATACAAATAATAAAGAAATAACATCTACATCTTCAAAATTATTTTCGAATTCCAACAAAGAAAATGACATCAGTCAATGAGTAAAATTTCGTTTCAAACTCTTTTCTTTGAATTTTCAAGAATCTCTTGTTTATAAACAGCTCATAATCAAAAGTTCTTCAAGATTTTGATTAGTGATATGAAGATCTAATCGTAGAGATATCAGAAATAAATGTCCAAGTCAGTTACAGTTTATTCAAAAAAGATTGAATATTGATCTATTCTTTATAAAATCTTATGTTATTTTTGTTTTTATTCTGTTTTATTTTCAAATGATAGAATTGATGGTGATGTATTTCGTCCACCACAATAATGTATACTTTTGTCTACTCTTGTTGGTAAAGGTGTTCAAATTGCAATGACATTTTTAATCACATTAGGTAGATAGTTTTGTTTATTTTCAATTTTTTTTTCAAAATTTTTTTATTTAGTCTTCGCTACACTTGATTTTCTCTCACCAGACAAACCTGGTGGTTTACTGACTTGTAAGTATTTTATTCCATTCTTTTTCTTTCTATCTATTTCATTTGAATCATTAAGGTCTTATCCTATGTTATGTTATTTTGGGCATTCCAGCTGGTTATACTTCAGCTCGTTTATATAAAAGTAGGAGACAATATTTATTATAAAATGACTAATTGATTTTTCGTAGTGTTTGGCGGTACAAATTGGAAGAAAATTGCTCTAACAACAGCTGTTACATGTCCAAGGTAACATTTAAATTGTTTGGTTTTTTTTTCTAAAAATAAATTATTTCTTTGTTTATTTCAGCTTAATTTTTCTCATGTTGTTTTTTTTTAAATCTTCTTCTTTGGGCAAGTGTTAGTTCAGCAACTATTCCACGTACCACATGTTCAGCATTACTTGCTCTTTGGTTCTGCATATCAACACCATGGGTATTCATTGGAGCTTATCTTGGTTTCAAACGTTCAGTAAGAATGAAAAATATTTTTCTTTTTATCTAATTTCTCTTAAAATAAAGGTTTATAAAAATCCTGTTCCAATTAATCAAATTCCACGACAAATACCTGAACAGCCTTTTCACACTAAAACATTATTAAGTATGTTAACCAGTGGTATTCTTCCATTTGGTTGTATTTTTACTCAACTGTCTTTCATCTTCAACAGTATTTGGTAAATATTTTTATTTTTTATTTTTTTGATATTTATTATATGTATATAGATGAATTTAGGGCTCATCAATATTATCATTATTTTGGATTTTTACTTGTCGTATATATAATTTTTATAATTACATGTTCGGAAACAACAATTTCTCTTTGCTATTTTCATTTATGTACTGACGAGGGAGCGTATGCAAGTGTAAAATCGCTTTTGAATCAGGAGTATGTTCGTCATGTAGGTCTTAGTGAGCCATGAATACCCTGAAAAAAGTTCGGGCTATTGGTTTATTGCTACCAAGATATTGTATTTTTGCGACATTTTTTATTAGAATGCCGTGGTTCCCCTCAAGACCCTCAAAAAACTAAGTTTCGAATTTCAATTTGAAACTTTGCGCAGAGATAGATCATAATGAGAAGAGTTTATTGTAAAAGTTTCAGATCATTTTATTCTTGCTATCCTACCCATGTAAAAATGATCGTTAAATTGACGGTTTAACGAAAGTTAACGTTACCTTTTTGTCCGTAAAAACGCATTAAAAATCAGCGTTTTAACGAACTTTCATGCGTTTTTCTCTGTTTTTCAGATGTTAACGTCGAATAACGCATGAAAGTTCGTTAAAACGCCGATTTTTAACGCGTTTTTACGGACAAAAAGGTAACGTTAATTTTCGTTAAATCGTCGATTTAACGATCATTTTTACATGGGTAAGACAGGACTACGGTAACAGCACGTTTTTACTTCCCAATATACACCGATATATTCTTTCGTTCTTGTTTCATAATAGAAGGAATCAAAAAATCTGAAGCTTTTACAATAAACTATTCTCGTTATAGTCTACCACTGTGCAAAGTTTCAGGTCGAAATTCAAAACTTAGGTTTTCTGAGAGTCCTGATGGGGACCACCGCATTGTGATAAAAAGAATACCGTAAAAATGTAATATCTCGGCAGCAATAAACCAACAGCCCGAACTTTTTTCAGGGTATTCATAGCTCACTAAGACCTACATGATGCGCCCACTTCTGACTCAAAAGCGATTTTACCCTTGCATATGTTCCCTCGTTAGTGATTAGTATTTAAAAACAACTTTACGAAATGATGATGCAAAGAGAAAGCAGCCTAAAACGTCGGAAAACCTTGAAAAAACACCATGAAAATTTCTCGGAAAATATGATAGTAGGAGCAAAGTTTTAGACGATAAGTTCGTCAAAATCAATTCATTTTTCGATAAAACATAGATATTCTGAAAGAGGAGACTTCAGTGCATCTTCCTATGATAAAACTTCAATTTCGACTCATCTCCGAAAAATTGGATTTTCTGAGGGGGGGGGGAGCCCTTAAAAACGAGTTCTCTTAGTAAAACAATTTTGCTTTTCCATTCAGTGACCTATTCTCAAGTACAATAAATCGCTTGATCATGATCAAACCTGTTTACTTTCCTATGATTATATGAATAAATGGTTGCTGATAAATCTTCGATTTATGGTTAAGGATAGTGTGTATTGAATTAACTCGAATGACCAAATCAAGTCATGAAATGAGTAGGCACTTTAGTGCTTGATCCAAAAAGTCACGTGTCTAGAATGGTTTGAATTTCTGAAACTTCATTCTCAAGATATTGAAATTTCGCTGAATGTTGCAACAAAAAACTTTCGTCCCTTCAAGTCAAGTGAGAACTCCGATTTGAAACTTTGCACAAACAAATTTTTTAATTAAATTAGTTCATTGATTAACTTGTAACTTTTCTAGTATCTCATATTCTCGGTTATTCAATACCCGAAAGTTTCGTATATGTAAAAGCAAACTTTGTTTATTTATCTATATTTACAGAAATAAAGTAATAGAAAAGCTAAAAGTTACGCAATATCTCCTAATCTTATTAAGAACTTTGTTCATGCAAAGTTTGAAGTTAAAAGTCTATTTTCGACGTTATCTGAGAAGAATCACAGCTTTTTTTGTAGACAAGTCTAATAAAATATCGAGATCTGACGAACGATGTCCCGGTTGACACCTGGAGAGGTTATTTTGCAAGCCAGAAACACGTAAAACTTAGCTTATTTTGTATGCTGTATCCGTATACAGAGCTCTATTCAAATTATAGCATTTCAGTCTGCTACACGAATCATTTCTCTTGAAATCGAAATAAACTTGAGTTATATTGACTATTTTTTTTGTCAATCAATCCGAATTTTTCTGAGAGTCTCACAATTGCTGATTCAAAACCGTTATTTTTATAAAGTTCGGAAAAAGAACTAATTTATTTACATGGCACGTATTGGTACAAAAATTTTTACTCGTAATACGTTCTTATACAGAATTTAATTGCGAATCTTTCTAAAATGACGATAACCTATAGCGATATTGAGACAATGGTTAGAGAGACATTTATTTTGTGCGCGCTCGATAATATTTCGTTTCATACAGTATATTTTTCATAAATGAATACTCGAACTATCATGTAAGGAAATGTTTTGACTAGAAACCATTCGTTTCTTAAATCGAAACTGATTGTTTTTTGTTTTGAGTGTTTCTCTTTATCATGTAATCTGTTAATTTTTTCTACAAAACTCCAGTGTCCTCTTTCGGATATGAAAATCTTCATAATGATTGGTTGTTTTGAAATGAGCCGCGTTTCTTTGTATTCATTCATTTTAATCTAGTTCATCGATTTTTAATCCATGGATTTACAAATAATTAATGTTGAGCTCTTTAAAAAATTATCATTAGCAATAGCAATTATACGTAATACACCAGATGGTATTACACCAGATGTTTTTACACGTATATTATCGAAACGATTATTTCCTCGATCCAATCATTCAAGTCAACTTGCATCCATACTTGATGAACATCTTATTCTTCGTCAACAAGATCTTTTATCTCGTTTTCTTCCATCTCATACAAAATTAACGTCGAGTATTTCTTTCATGGATTTTACACCAGCTACAATTGATAACGATGATCTCAACAAAAAACAAACAAATGAATATGAATATGGTGAATTTGCTGAGAAAGTATTTCAATTAAAAGATAAAAAATATCAAATAAAAATTGATGATGTAGAATTTTTACTTAATACTTTAACGAAATGGATAATAACAACAACAGATATCAATTATCAAACAATACCAATTGATGCATGTCTTTATACAATACAAATTATAGCTAATAATCTTAAAACTGATAATGATAAACCATATCATATTGTTCTTGATATTTTACCGATGATTAATAAATTTCTTGATTGTCTATTTGATATACTTGATCATATTACAGATAATCATGTTTATTTTATTCATGAAATGATTATTTCATTAGGTAAATAGAGAAAAAAGAATCCTTTTAGATTAGGTCAACTATACAGAATTGAAAAATCGAATATACTACGTTGTAGAGCATGTAGAAATGTGTCGAATGATATATATATATATAGTAAGTTTTATTTTTATAAGACTTCAGAGAAACTAGAATCTATTTACCAATAGATTTTTCTTATATACAGTTTTGTAGAGCTTTTCACAGGCTACAAGCTCATATACTTACCATCTTTGATCATTCTATTTTCGATAGGAAAAAATGTAGTTTTTCCATGGTTTACCACTATTTTTTTACTGACAACGAGTATTGATGTCTTCAAGAATGTCGACCAGAGATCAAATTTTGTCAGACGTTGCCCACAATAACCTTCCATTGAAAAATCTGAACCAATTTTTACATAAATGTTTCTTTTTGAATATTCTATTTCAATAATTCGACTACTAAAATTCAATTCTGATTCATAATAAACATGCTATCCAGAATTAGCGTAACAAACTGCAACGAACGATTTTTTATTTTAACTAAATATGGTTTCACCAAAATTTGACTAGTAATCCTCAATCATTTTGTTCTAAATTTTATCCTCTAGTCTATGTGCACAGGTTGAAATTTGACAGAAAAAATACGTGCGTAAAAAATAAGGGTCAATGTACCAACACGATAGGATTTTTCAGTGCAAAAATATTTTTGACGATATCACACACTCATTATGGAGAACTTCTAAATAGTGTCTTATGTAGTGATACATTGTGGAAAATTTCTCAGAAAATTTAACGTCTGGTCACATCTGTTTGCCTATTGAAGATGTTAAGTATATGAATTTATCATCCGTGAAAAACTTTACAAAATCCATCAGTAGATCGATTATAGTTCTTTCAAAATTTTATGGAAAATAAGACTTATTATATACTATTCGATATTACTTGACTTGCTCTACAACATAGTATATTTAGTTTCTTAATTCTGAATAGATCACCTCATCCGACAGGATTCTTTGCACAATTAAAGTGATAATAAATCGTTTAGCTTCATCAAATTCTTGTGTTTCACGTATATTGGATAAATTATGTTATCGTCTTCGTCAATATTGTGAAAATATAGAAATAATCAATGATAATCATCGTGAATATGCTGCTAATATTCATTTTATTGATCCTATTGATCGTTTATTTAATATACTTCATGAAATTATTCATAATCGTAGTATTTTTCAACGTCGTTTATCTCAACGATCAATTGATAAATTATTTACTTTTATTAATCAAATTTCATCTTTACTCGATGGTAAATCAAATCATACTCATCTACTTAAACTTCAAGGACAATTACAAGCTGCTAATTATAAAATAACGGAAACATCTATTAAAACATTTCGAAGTTATACAAGTTCAAGTAGTAGTGATTACTCACAATGTCAACAACAGAAACATTATACAACAAAACCACCACCGTTACCATTGAATCACAATAGTCTAGATTATTCAATGAGTCAACATTCACAATCACAATACTTTTAAACTTGAATAAATGAAACGAACTTTTTATCGTTTTCTTAAATTCATCAAAAATAAAAAATAAATATTTCGATTGTTTTGATAACTTATCGAATATCAAGAATTTTTTCAGATGCTAATTTGCTTATCAATCGGAACTTAGCGCATCTTGTAGATCTTAGTGAGATATGTCTACCATAAAAAAGTTCGTGTTTATGGTCTATTTCTAAAAACATCGAATATTTCTAATGAACTCAGTAAGGCGTAGGGTGTATTAGTAGTGGTATTCGTAGTGATTACCAGATGATAACTAACAAATTTCATTGTTATTACGAGTAAAGTTTAGATTCCAATGCCAAAAATTTTAACTAAGCAGATGTGCATTCAAAAGTTTTCGACCAACAGACTCTAGCCTATACTTTTAAGTTAAATATCTCGCAGAGACCAAGTCCAAAAATTTTGAAATCTTTTTATGCTAGCTATTTCAATTGATGCTTTCATGTGAACCAAGTTTCAGGTTGACATTTGAAAACATGCTCTTCCTGCAAATGTGGAGTCCTATAACGAAAATTCACTAAGGTTTACAAGATGTATTTGTGAAGAAACCTTTTCAGATGTACCATTCTGATATGTATTTTCCAGAGAACCATAAATATTTGAAAAAGTTGAATTTGCTCTGAACATATTTTACAAATAGAAAACTGGACTAGACTAGCTTCTATAAAAAAAAAATTCAGAACTGTTGAACAAAGTCTCTTCAAGATATGAGCATTTTCAAGATGTACACACTTTTTCATGGATACTCTGTACAATATTAGAGCAATATGTAGTATCTATGGGCGAAAAATCGTTGAAATTAGAGCAGCACATCTACGAATATTCGATCGTAAATATTAATGATCTATTTCATATGTAAATATCTTTTCAAATTATTTAAGGTCGTATTTCACACAAAAAGTAATATCATATTAAGATAAAAACTTAGCTTATGTCAACTAAAGGAAAACAACATTACGATTTTTTATGATTCATGTTAAGGAGACGGATACTTTATCAATAAACACATAAAATTGAGACCTTACAGAACTCAAAAAAATAGTCACTATGGCAATAACCAATCTCTTCATTTGCTTATTATAAAATAATATCGTCATAGCGGGAGTTTTTTTTTTCTGTAGTTCAACGAATAAATTGTTTCTAGTGTTTTATTAGAAACTATCGGAAATCCAAGTCAATAACTGTTTTTTTTTTCATTAATGTTGTTGAAAGAAACAAATTTAAAATACTGAAAAAGTGTTCTTTTTTTTCAGTTTAAAACATATTTTCATATTTGTTGATCAAGTAAAGTACATATTATACATCATCTTGTTATTGCAAATAATAATCGAAAAAAAAATAATTTTTTCGAACATTCAAGAGAAAACTTTCATTCATATTCTTCTATAAATGCGAATTGTTTTTTTTTGAGAATTCTATTTAGTATTAAATATACCAGGCAATGCGTCAGAGAAATGACGACAACAAAGCAATATTATCAAGTGTTGTCGTAGAGAAAGAGTAGAATTTTTTTTTCAAAACTCCAATGGCAATGTCAACATCGTATTTTGTCATACGAAACGATGCTGATTTAAAAAAAAAACAAAGTAGAAGAGAAGGAAGAAAAAATAAAAAAAAAGAATACCTATCGGATTCGAGAGAAAGCGTCGACGTTTTGACATAGCTTGAAACGAGAAGCATATAAATACGACGTGCAACAAACGTCTTTTATATTATTCTCAAAATTACAAGAACATGAGTAAGTTTGTATTTTGTTCTATTGAATACATTTTCATCTTATAATTCATATAAGCTTATTAAAAAAAAGTCAAACGGGAACTAGAGAGGCAAGCACACTTTCCTCCTCTGCCCAGGAAAACAATTGAGGTTCGATTAAAAAAGGAATCAATTCTGTCTAAAACTAAAAATAACAACACATTGAGATATGATGACAAAATTTATCCCAGGCGTTATATTTGTAAAGTAAAGAAATTTTTTATATTCGAATCAAAATTTCAAATAATTCATATCGAAATTTCTTGTATAGATTTTATAACCAAACAAGTTGAAAATAAATTAGGTGTTGATTTAAATGGTGACGGCATGGTCGGTTCAGGTATGAATTTTCTGAAAAATAAATAAATTTTATTTCATTTTTTGTTTTAAAAAAAGGTCGTGGTCAGTCACAAGGTTATGGAGGTGCCGGTGGTGGTGTAATGAATCAAGTAGAAAAAGCTACTAATATGGATCTCAACGGGGATGGTCGTGTTGGTGGTGGTATGGGTCATGGTCAACAATCTGGTGGATATGGACATAATCCTAATTCCGGTGGTAGTGGTGGCTTAATGAATCAATTGGAAAAAGCTACTCATATGGATTTAAACGGTGATGGTCGTGTTGGTGGTTCAGGTCATTATTAAAATAATACAAAGGATATGACATTACAAAACTAAAGTTTTTCTGTAATCATTGTTTTTTTTTGAGTTATTGTACAATTGAATAACATTTCGAAATAAATTATACGGATTTCATCCTATCATCCTTGTTTCAACTTTTGTTTTTCATGCACATGAACTACTTAAGCATCTTGAGCAAAGAAAGCCATGTGCTATGGACCTATATTTAGATCTTTTGACAAGTTCAAACGCGTCTTAGAGTGATTATGAATGAAATACTACATGAAAAATAGTACGAATTGTATTGATTATTAGCATAAGTCTTGTCATCTGTCACAACGATTGAAGAAATATCTGTAATACGTGAAATCACTTTTAATTAAAGATTAGCAATGCTTTTCAATTTTATATTGAAAGTGATTAGACGCTTCAACAAAATTCACAGTTTAAACAATAAAGCATGTAATAGACAGACCAAATGGGAATCTACGAGAGTCATTAGATTCAGTTATTCTCCATGGCGCAAGAAGCATTTCTTCATCATAAGCAGAAAAGCACTTATTATTTTGTTCTAGTCGATTATTCCAAGTATCCTCATTTATATTATGTTCATAAATTCAGTACATGAATTACTTAAATTGTGCACATAACTCATGCAAGAACTTTTAAGTACTTGTTCATAGATACATCTTGAGGTTGGTACAAGAAAAAACCGTCTGACTTAGATTATAAAATTGCAAATGATAACATAGCAGTGAATCTGAGTTTTAGGTAAGAGGAAGTGCTTAATGAAAAGGCAAACAATCATGGTCACAAAACATGTATTGAACTTCATCACAGCAGGGTCTCTCGAAATCTGCTACTCTGATAAAATGAGTAATTACACAGGCTTCTCAAAACAAGCAAACTCACCTAACTCGAATAATACTTTTTGTGTGGAACTCACAATAATGTTTTTCAAAGAAAAATATAGTGAACGTTGGTTGAAAGTTGAGATTTTGTAGCTCTCTTTGCATTCGTAGCAATGTGCAAGAAAGGCCAACAGCCATCTGAATTCTTTTTCAAACTTCCTAAATAACTCGAAATCTGAATGGCTGGAATATGTTTGTAAATGTATTAAATAATGCAGTTTTAACCTTTACTCACATGAAATTTATACTCAAGGTGTCAAAAATGTTATTGATTTGTGACAGTCATCATATGATCAACATAAAAAGCGTGAACTGACCAAGTTAGAACTTTTGGAAATAATCAATATCAATGCTACTGAGCTTATCAAAATGTATAATAATGGATTGAGACCTGTAGTAGATATAATGGATATCTGCAGCAAGCTTATTTACTAGTTAAATTCATGGTTATAATAACAATTATGTTAAATTAAGAAATACGAAAATGAAAAGAAATGAGCCGTTAGGAATCAGACAAACAAAAAAAATTCTGTTTGAAATACAGAAGTAAAGTAGATCGTTTAGCTGACAATCGATTATCTTTGAAAAACAACAATGATCTTTTAAACATTCTTCATTTTACGTGTTTTATATTAGATTTCTCAAAACTTTGGACCGACTTTCTTCGGTCCAGCCCAATTCATTAGTTTAATGAGACTAAAGAATGCATGTAAGTTTCACATTTCAGCCCTAAAGACGCTGTGTTAATTAGCTTTTATTATTCATATTTAGAAGATGAATTCGGTGAAATGATTAACTGTTTTTCTAAAATAAGACGATGAGTGTCGACCGATTGTCGTTTATCGATATCAATTAATTTAAAATCATGTGAAATGAGAAAGAGAAGCATTGATTTGAAAGAATTACGTGTTTTAATCGTCAACGATTTATATTTTTCTTTCATAGCCCATTGTTCAGTTCGATTCATTAGTTGAACAAGTATTCCTTGTCGACGATGATTAGGAAGAACACCAACAATCCATATATAAAATGATGAATAACGTTCATAACCCATTAAATAACCAACTGGTTGATTATCAATATATGCAACAAGTATCAATGGATGTTTTACATTATTAATTCTCTCAATTAATTGATTATATGTTGTTGAATCAATTTGAAATTCAGGTATTTGTTGATGAATAGAAAATGCATCATCAAACAAAGATAAATTTTCTCTGATATCAACTAAAGTCATCTAAAACTTTTCAAAAAAAATTATTTTATTTATTTCCTAAATATAAAATCGCATCAATAACATTCGGATAAAGTTTTAAAGCTTTAATAGCTGTATTTCGATCAATTTTCATTTGTTGCATAAGACATTCAATATCTTTTGTATTTATATCTGTTTCATCTTCATTCTGTTCTCCAATACTTAAAAAAGTCATATTTGATATAAGAGATAAATCTTGCCAATTATCTTTTGTATATCGTTTGCCTTTATAAATAAGTTTTAAACGATCCGATGATATATGAATATGATTAGCAATCATATTAAATTGTTCTAATTTCGAAAGATTTGATTGTTTATCAAGATTCATATGATAAATTGTATTACCATACTTAATAATAATCGGAATGGAAGTCGATGAAGTAGTCATGATCTAAATAAGTAGTTTCTTTTAGTTAAGCAAGAAAAAAGAAAGACAATGAATTGAAAATTCACTTTAATTAGTTTTTCTAATAAAAAGAAAAATAATTCCATCGGTATAATCGATCAAATTTAAAATACAATTTTTTTACAAACACAATATAATAAATATACATTTATATATATAAATATGAATCACGGTATGAAATAAATAAAATTATTTTTGTTCAATAAATGAATTTTCCAAACAAATAAATACCATAAAAAGTGGTAATAAACTAGTACAATATTCAAATTCTTTATAATTAGAAAAATCAATAATTTTTTCTGTTCTTATTAATGTTAAAATTGTATTTAAAATATGTTGACCACCAACTTTATCTTCTAGATAAAGACGTAATTTAAATATAATTTCTTCTGTTGTTGCATGAACTTTTTGTGCTTCATGTAGACAATGTAAACCATCAAGATAATCATTTATGGTTAACATTGTCATTGGTGGTGTTATTGATGTAGAACAAGTAGCTGAATGAACATTTTCTAATGATGAATATGATGGAATGTTCATATTAATCAATGAAACTCAAAATAATGATTTAAATAAATTGTTTAGGATTGAAATAAACTACTACTTAGAACAAGTTCACCATTTCTTTTTAAATTACATTTAGCCTCTGCAATAAAAAGAGGGCGTTCAATACCAGCATACATCACAGAACAGTTATAGATCTTTCTTTGGAAGAATTTTATATTTTATTGCATATCAAGGTTTCATTTAATAATTTTTCCACTAAGAATAATTTATATAAATCATATTTTTTTCTTATCAATGGCAACCAATTAAATACAAATAATTTGAATAATATCACTTTATTAAAATTCATTACAGTGAACACATTCCATATTGGACCAGATGTTGGTCTTACGAAACGAGTTTTACTGGAGTTGAATCATTGTATATGTATGTAAATATCTTCCATATTCAAAACGAAATACACGGATAATGGAAATTTCATGTCACTATTTTTGGCCTTATTATCTATAATATTGATGTCAAAGTCGACTGATACAAACATTCTATTGATTTAGCTTTGAAATTCGTAATTGATTATGATATAATGAATTATTTTATTTTTTCATTTTATTTAACTATATTTCTTTCCTAGAATTCAACATGTATAAAAAGCATTTATTTTATTGATAAGATCTTCTTAGTATTCTTGTTTATGTATCAATACAATGAACTATTTTAATATTAGAACAGAAAGAATAGTTTAGTTCTTAAAAAGGAAAATTTAACTGATTTTCTACCGTTTAGTTTTCTTTGGGACATGTGTTGATTAGAAACGGCAAAAACTATAAAGGTCTTTTATGAAATTCAATGTCACGTTAATATGTATTGATTGTTGTATTGGAAAATGATAAGTTTAAAATGATTTGACAATAATTGACGTTTTACGATGTTCACAATGTGTTCATAAAACGAAAATGATTTCAAATACTTGTTCATATTCTCAAAACAATGAATCGATGTTTACACGTGCATTTTTTCATGAGATAAAAGTACTTTATAGTATTGGTTTATACTATTATATATCCTACAGGTAATATGGTAAGAAACAAACAATCTAGGATGATTTTTGAGTAACCATTTTTTCCCTTGATTTTAAACGCTCTTTTATAACATTCTGCACGGGAATTGTTTTCGATCTTTTGAACAGTTTATTAATTGTCAATTAATAATAAATAATGACTGATAGAAAATTGGCACGTTGTTTTATAGGGTATAATCTGTTGGTTCGGTTTCGAATCTGGATCTGGGACCAACTGAATGAGCTTTAATGCTAGCAAAATGAAAATTAATATACGAGAAAGAAAAATTCAATAATTATTAATTGCATAAAAGAAAAATTTAATAATATCTTATCTGAAATTAAGTAAATTTTCAAAATTGTGGGATTTCGTTCACAATTTTATTAAATACTAACAATGTTCAGTTAATCTGTTATGCAAAAATAAAAAGTAAGAAATGATAAATATAATAACCAAAAAATTGTTTGTATTTTCACGGTAGTATTACTGTATACAAAAAGCTATAACAAGGAGGAAAGTTTGAAATAAACTCAGAAGAATTATACCACATGGGGTTTAGGACAGTTGCTCGACGGACAGTTGCTCGATAGGACAGTTGCTCGATAGGACACTTGCTCGATCGCTTTTATATAAGTATGATGATTGAATACGACTAAACATTACAGAGATAATGACCGTCAGTGTGCTCTACATATAGACTAATCAGTTTAGTCAATTTTGTCTTGAATTATTATACTGAAAATTAAGCGATCATGTCATTCGTGAGCAAGTGTCCTATCGAGCAACTGTCCTAGCGAGCAACCGTCCGTCGAGCAACTGTCCGCGCGCAACTGTCCGTCGAGCAACTGTCCGGATCCCACAACATGACATGCCATCGAAACCATGTCATGGAACAATATATTACGGTTTAAACAACTAAAATATTCGTAATACTCTATTATTACTATCAAAGTGTAGCTTAACAACTTCCTTCTGTGTAGCAAGTGTTGCATACATTTCACTTTCATTTGATATGTCTGTTATTCAAAATACTGACTTATATGTAGCCAATAATAGTTAAATAATCAAAATATAACAAGAGAGTAGATGAAAATTTCTCAATTGAATTCTTCGAATTTAGAAAACAAGTTAAAGTCGATTTAGATTATTTTATTAAAGTTTTAGTGTAAATTATGATTGAAAGTATCTATGATGAACTTTAGAAATTATTCCTATGCCGTAGATATAAAAGACCACGCAATGGTTATTGTATGAAAGGTGGATGTGGGTGATTTTTTTTTCTTTGTCGACATCTTCGTATCTTTGTAGTAAAGACATTCATTTCTCTTAGTTGCACTCCGGTATCACATGTTTTGATTTTTTGATTACTTCTAACCTAGATAGTTTTTTCGCGCATTAAAACTCGTTTATAAATCCTAATCTATGAATCATACAAACATTACAAACCTTGATTAAAAAAGAGCACTTATTTCTAATTCTAATTCCAAGTTTTATATTTCTGATAGCGACTTTTGTCAGTTGAAAAATGAAGGAACGTTTTGTCTCGAAAATTTCAGGCCATCTATTAAATACCGCCTAAGGACACTTGAATATCATCAGATCTTCTCTATTTAGAATGAGAATTTGAAAGAATAGCTTACCTAATTAGTTGTGCTCAATTATTTATTATACTTTACCTATGTGATTAACATACTTTCTAAGTATATAATAAAGATATGCGCCCATTTTTTTTTACTTTCCTCCGCAGTAAATATATTCATACATCGCTTATCGAAGGTAAATATGAAAAATCATAAGATAAAAGTCTTACTAAAACTGACAAAAAAAAATACTCATTCTGAATGAAAATTTTATTCATAAAGATGAATATTTTACTTTTATATGTGCGTAATTCCATTAGTAACGGTAAGGATACTGCTAATTATCATAAGCAATTGAATGTTTCTCGGAAAAATTAGCTAGATTGTTCAATCATCGACATCTAGCGATCTCTATGAAGGATTAAATATGAATTGTCCTAGTCTCCGACCATTCTATCAAGTTTTGTATAGGAGCTTAAAACTCTTTCATTTAAGAAACAAAACAGAGAATAATTTCTTTGCTTTTCTGATGACCTTTTTTTTCTTCCATTCTCTTATGTCTCTTATCACTTTCTGTTCTTCGCTCTAGTAACAGAATAGTATGTATTCGTTTGTTTGCGTGATATTTGACATCTTCTGTTGCATGAAGTATATGTACATAGAAAATGTGATATATGATACTGTTGATTGCTATGTTTTTTATGTTTTAGATTTCATTTTAAATGCATTAAAAGAACAGTGAGAGTTTATATAATAGTTAAACAAATTAAAATATTGAAGATTTTCTTGTTTTTTGTTAGTGGGAACTTATATTGTTAATCATGATTATATAGCAAAAACATCGGATGAATTAACAATACGAAAAGGAGATATAATAACTGATGTTGTACCATCCGATGATGGATGGTTAAAAGGAAAATGTCAAGGAAAGATTGGGTAAGTTTAAGTTTTTAAATTGAAAATTTTCTTTTATATTAAATTTTGTTCTTTAGTTATTTTCCAGATACTAATGTTACAGTAAGAAGAATTTTCGAATCTATTTTTCATATTAAAATGATTTTTTTTGTAAAAAAAAAAAAAGTTAGTAAACAAAGAAAAGGCAAATAAACGAACATTTATAACAATAAATACTGGAAAAAAAAATGAAATTACACAAAAACGTTCACTTATACATAATAATACTTGTCAGTTTTATTTTTCTATTTATTATTTATTTAGTATAATTTATATTCTAGCTTCTCAAAATAGTACATTATTTCAAGTGAAAGCTCTTTATACATATCAATCAATGCAAGATGATGAATTATCTATTAAACCAAATGATATTATTAATGTTACTCAATTGGTTTGTTTAATTTCTTATTTATTATATGATTAATTAATAATTATATTTTTAGATTGAAAAAGGTTGGTATGAAGGTATACTTAATGGTAAAATTGGTTTTTTTCCATCGAATTATGTTATACGTATCAATGAAGATAACAGTAAGACAAATCAAGTAATTAAACAGAAATCTATTAATGGTCATCATACACCTGTTCAACATGAAATATCAAAGAAAACATCTTTAATAAAAGCTCGTGTTTTGCATGATTATGAAGCAGAAGCTAAAGATGAATTAACATTAAAGACTAATGATATTGTTACTATACTTGATAAAAATCTTGATGATGAAGGATGGTGGAAGGTAGATTTGAATACGAGAGAAGAATTTTTTTTTTTTTGCTATCAATATCCTGAAAAATAGTTCGAACACTAGCTGAAAAGTATGGAGATATTACAGGTTAATGATAGCGTTTAAGTTAATATTTTGGTCTCGTTCGGGAACACTAGAAC